TATATATATATGACATTCAAATTCATTAAAATAATGATAACATTCTAATCTTTGTATTCTAACCTTACAAGTGCAGTGTGGATACTAGCGTGGATGTATTTCAGAAAATGTCCATTATGGAGTGTGTTTAATATACAGTTTACAGAGACACTGTGAAGCATCTGTGTGTGTGTGTGTGTGTGTGTGAGAGTGTGTTTGTCTGTGTCTGTGTGTGTGTGTGTCTGTGGGTGTGTGTGTGTGTTTATGTGTGTGTGTGTTGTGTGTGAGTGTGAGTGTGAGTGTGTGTGTGTGTGTGTGAGGACAGAAGGCCGTCCTGTGAGGCTCATTACGGAGCAGCGGGCCGGCTGCGTGTCTGTCCCCTGCATGGCCCTCATGGCTATGTACAAATTGCTGACAGTGATCGGCCGTTGCAGCGCAGCTTGCCTGGACGCTGTCAGAAAGCACTTTCAAACCCTGCAGACGGCAGTGAGACTCCTGGGAGCCGCTGTCTGAGGAGCACAAATGTGCCAATATGGAGAGTTTCATACAGCAGGAAAACAGCAGAATCTCCTGCAGACGGTCAGTGTGTCAATGCATCAAACTCCAGCACTGGTGAACCAGCAGACGATACGCCCAACAGCTGAACATTAAGAGCAGATCATACAGAATACAGACAACAACATCATCCTCCTCAACAACATCCACAGCCCCAAAACCAGCAGGGGTTTGAGAATGAAGCCACGAGATGCCAGGCGTTCCAGGACTTGAATGTGCTCTTCTTAGGTTTAGTTTTTTAACCAATGCTTTTACATGACTCTTCCAGATCTTCATGATTTACTGGAAAATGATTTTTAACCCGTTTGTGCTGACAACCCTTTACCTAATTTGGTGTTTCTAGACAAAAATGACATATTTAAAAAGTATTGAAAAACCAAACATTATATTTTAACTCATAAAATGAGGAGCCTCCAATGAGCTCCAAAAAGAAACACCAAACCTGTGCTAATGGAAAGAAAACAAGTTAAGAAAATGATTGAATCCAATATTTGGTGATGATATAACATAATAAAAGATAAGCAATTTTTAAAAGGCCGGTCGTTTTTGAACAGAAACAACACAAGTGTAACAAGTTGGGGGAAAAAATCCCCAAAAAAGTCAAAAAATGATACATTTCTTGTTGTTTTACTTTGTGAGCAAAGCCAGTATACGTCAAACTGACCGAAAAACACAAGAAGAAGATTTTTTACTCAGTTTCTATTTATTTTAGTATATATTTTAGAAAAGATAAAAATAAATAATGCATAAAAATGTTTTTGCTGGCGTATCTGGAGTTTCAAGAATATTGTTTACTCACAATTTTTACTGGATACAATATTTTAGAATAGATTTATAGCTTGGCATAACTACTAAAATGTATACTAATTATTAAAGCGCCCATGGAGTTTTTATAATTTTCCGTGACTTCTCCAGGTCTAGAATTTTCCAAGGTTTTCCAAAGCAATTCTGGTCCTTCAAAGACCAAAAAATAAATAAAAAATCTTGATTGTTGAAGCTTGTTTTGTCTTATTTTAAGTCATCTTTATTGAACCCTGAACCCAAATTGAGAACTGCTGCAATAAAGTGACGTAGAGCTGCTTCATAAAGACAATGTCAAACTCAGAAATATCATTATATTTGATAGTAAATATCACAGCGAGGATAATAAATGACACTTTCTGTGATACTTGAATCTAATTCAGACATGTTTTACACGATTGAAGCGTAAACATTATTACCTTGATTGATTTATTTAAAAAACATAATATGAAGATCTGAAAGTTGAAATGAGTTTCTGCCTCAGTATTTCTGTCTTGTTTTCCATTATAAATATCTAAAGATTCTTAAATCAACATTCATTTACTGGAGATGGAAAATGACTTTAGATATGAAGTATCATTTTTGAAAAACTGTATCAAAATGAAGTGGAACAAATATCTGCCAATGGAGTCAGAAAAATAAGCTTAATTCAAAAGAAAACAAGTTTTCATTCCTCTGACAGATATTTGTTCTTGTTTTAATCATAAACTCACTTAATTTTGATGCATTCTTCAGAAAATAAGACTTGAAATATTAAGTCGTTGTTCTTCCAAAGAATTAAGAATTTTTGATATTTGTACAGGAAAACAAAACAGATATACAAAGAAAGAAGAAAATCATTTTTTTATTAGAAAAAAATCAAAAGCACTAAAGTCATCTGAAACATCAGGATCGTTAGCGGACGAGCCGCTGATCACATTCCTGGTGCTTTCACAAACATGATCAATCACACTCTCACTCACTCACTCACTCACTCACTCACACTGACACACACACACACACACACACACACACACACACACACACACACACACACAC